GTTGTTACCCAGTTCACCACAGAGAAACTTGAGGTTTTGTTTCTGACGCTACATTTTGAGTTAAAGTAAAACAGATAAACAACGTATTCAGTTTTGTGTATTTAAGGCCTAAAGTTGTTACCCAGTTCACCACAGAGAAACTTGAGGTTTTGTTTCTGACGCTACATTTTGAGTTAAAGTAAAACAGATAAACAACGTATTCAGTTTTGTGTATTTAAGGCCTAAAGTTGTTATCCAGTTCACCACAGAGAAACTTGAGGTTTTGTTTCTGACGCTACATTTTGAGTTAAAGTAAAACAGATAAACAACGTATTCAGTTTTGTGTATTTAAGGCCTAAAGTTGTTACCCAGTTCAAGCACAGAGAAACTTGAGGTTTTGTTTTGATCTCTAGATTATTTGTAAGCTTGGTGGCGTGTCATCGAAATAGAGGGTACATAATTTTTAAATAATTTAACATGTTGCGTCATAATACCCCTGAGAAAGGGTTCAGAGGTAAGGCACCCACTTAGAAGCACACTAAGGGATTGTCTGTCACTCGCATAACGAATCCACATCTTAAAGTGCTAAAAATATTTTGAGGTATCCCACAGATTTGAACCCTGCTCGTCATCTCCAAAATCCAGAGGGATATCACAGGGTCATTTCGTGGCAGAGGGATACCACAGGGTCATTTCGTGGCAGAGAAGGATTTATTATTTGATTTTATAGAAAAACGGTGTGAAAGTTAAAGATAATTACGAAAGGTTATTACATATTTTACAAATGCAGAACAGTTTGGTGTTTTTCAGTACAGTTATTAGTCAGTTACTTCTTTATTTTGTTTAAGTATTTAGGTATAACATTTTCCAATTACAGGATAATATTTTCTTCTTTGAAGAAAGCTTGTCATGATAAAGTTTTGTGCATATTTTTCTCTATAAGTAAATTAGAATACGAATTAAGAAACTTATGGATTATACAAAGACACGCATCCTTTATAAGTTCGGCCGGGCGTGGCCCACTATATTATGTCCAGACTATGAATAAATAGCTTGCTCACTGTTGCTGCGAAAGCGCGAGCTGTACTTTGGGGCACTATTATTCGATCGTACAAGAGTAGCCCAAGATTTGGCGGTGGGTGCTGTTGACAAGCTGCCTTCCCTGTAGTCAACCAATTGGTTGGCTATGCTCGAAATAAAATTCTAGAAATTGAATACAAGAAAATGTTTGTGAAACTGAAATAATGGGTCGTGTGACTTTGATGCTGTACACGTGATTTCAGAACGTAACCGTATTTGATTCTGTTCGTATAATTGTTGTCTTTTGCTTAAGTATGTGATCTGTGCGTTTTTAGTATTAAACCTACGCTTTTGATGTATGATTTATTGTACAATAAATCCAATAAGTTGGGAAATACGGATTATTCTAATAAAGCAAAAATTATTTTCATTACGGCGTTATTTTTATACCATTATTTTACTGAAAATGGCATGGCCTGGCCTTGTGGTTAACGTGTCAGACTGTGTATCGAAGGGTCTAGAGTTCGAGACGTGATACCGTTGAACACTCTCAGCTGTGCATTCAACCCCATCATTCAGTTCAATACAACGAATACTTAGTTTTGAAACAAACTTATACACCCTACAAAATTGATTATAACCCATTCATGTTCAAATTTTCAGCTTGGACACAGGACAGATAGAAAGTGGGTTTTCTCGGGGATCCCCCTTTTCTCCACACATCAAATCCTATGGCACTTGGATGTACAGATCCCAGCCACTAGGTGATCCTGTTTACGAGGCGAATGTTGTCACTTTGCTTCTTCTCGTCAACGTTGTCACCGGCCTTGGCCTTCTCTCTGTCTCCCGGACCTCCAGACATTTCTCAAGACTTCAAACCCTCCAAATTAGTAGATATGATCTCTCTTCGAAACTTTGTTAATTCTACGAACTCAGCAAGAATTTTATCGCGAGCGGGGCGAAGATGGATATCAATATCCCAGTTTAGGAAAGTTTATTTCCTTTGAAAACTAAATCCCTGTCACGGTTTGTTGTTTTGTTTCTGTTTTCATTCAGTTCAAAGAGCTGGATAAAACCCTTGTTCGAATTTAATGGTATATATATACCGGAGAGCTATGTGGCCTGACTGTTAACCGTCAACACCTTAAATGAGAGGTTCCAATTCGTTCTGACAAGCGAGTTATCTTTTGGAACTGGACTGTAGGTCATAACTTTAGAATTCTAACGTATATTATAAACGAAATACTTTGTATCTTCTGTTATCTAGTATGTACGTATAATTATAGGCGTTTTATTGTTGTTATTCTAATACGAGCATATAGTCCGTCAAAACTGACGGGGCATGTACTACCACTCCCACACTATAGTATACCCTAACCTCACATTTCATAGCTAACTGAAATAAATAAATTTGGTGAAATCAAGCTTGTCCAACAAAGAGGCAGTCGAGTCATTAAAACGTCGGTAAATTCCTTTAAGAGTCAATCAAAATTAAGATCATTCATGAAATGAATTCGTGGCGTATTCATACAATAATTATTGATAAAAATCAGTTAGATTAACAACTTATAATATAAAGAAAATCCAGTGCGTTTTGGTTACACTGCATTCCAACAATGGCTTTTATGTCATGTTGCTTAGCAACAAAAGTATAACCTAATATTGCTGTTAGTCTACGTACTGAGAAAGTATAAATAAAATGTATATTGACAACAAAACTGGAAAAATATTGATTTCTTAATTTAGAGTCTCCCTTGATTAAAGAGGCTTGTTTTCTTATTAAAAGCGTTAGTGATAAAACAGAAAATAGATTAATTCAGAAACTATTTAAGTTAAAACTGTATTAATATTTTTACTTTGATAAATTTTATGCACTTGGTACTAGGCTAGGTTATCCCACACTACGTCTTTACTTTAGGCTCATTATATCAACACTCACTACACTTATAAGGTTTCACGTCACACACTCACAGCCATCATTTCACCCCTGTCACTAAAATTGTAATGGACAAACAGTAATCGAACTATTTCATCTGGATAAACGCGTTTTAGCTTTCATGACTCCTATTTCGAGAAATCAAGCGTGACGTGACACACACTGGCTTAGATACAGAAATATGCTCGGGTTTTTGTATTATGTTTTGGAGACTGTATTTCGAAGGATAACACTTGGAAAGGGAAACCCACTTATGTATAAAACAATGTAACTAAAAACAAATTTAAGTGGGATAAAATTAAATTCATTTATAATAATATAAGCAATTTCTCGGCAGCATGTGTGGTCAATAACAGGTACAGGATTAGCCACTTAAAATTGTTGTTTTCAATTAATGATAACATTTTTATTACAGGGGTCACAAGGGCAGCCGAGATTATTGGTACCCCGGAAGAAGATCTCTGTTATGCTGATCGGGAACTTTTCTGCCAGAAAAAGCTTCTTTATTAACAGGTATACGGAAGAAGATCTTCCGTTATGCTGATCGGGAACTCTTCTGCCAGAAAAAGCTTCTTTATTAACAGGTATATTTCCACAGTTGTTGTCTATACTTGTATATACATGGTTTTTGTCAGCATTTTAGTAACTGAAGTCATTGAACATTTTTGGGCTTCTAAAACTCTCTTGTTGATTAAAAATTTTGCCTTTATATAATATACTCATTGTTTATCATCTAACTTATAAAAACCCAATATGTGTCACGTCACACATGATTTCTGGAAATAGGAGAAGTCATAAAAGCCAAAATGCATTTATC